TGCTCCCCGCCTCAGCTCCTCGCCTGTGGTGGGGCTGATACTGCACCTTGGGGTGCCGTGGCAGTTCAGAGAGGGAAGTCCTGTCCTGGCGATGCGTTTGGCACCCAGCTGGTGGCAGAGGAGATGGCAGCTGTCAGTGTCTTGATGCACTGCGTTGGGCAGAGCCCACAGATCCCCGGAGTGACAGGCACGAGGTCCCTTCCTAAGTGTCCTGAGATTTTTCCTCTGTGTTGGTGGGCAGGTGGGTACCACTGGCCGCAGACATTGGCTTCGTGGACCGTGTGGCGGGCAGTGCTGCAGGCACCCCTCACCCAGACTGGTCGCCAGGCTGTTTCTGACATCCTGCAGCTCAGTGGCGTCGTCATCAGCTTCTCAGGACTCTGGGACGTGGGCGGTCGGACACACCCCGCCCTGACAGCACAGTTGGGGGTCTGGGACTTTGGCCAGTCACCTTATCTCTCTGAGCCTCAGTTTCCACATCTGTAAAGTGGGCAGGGGGTTCATGTTAGTATCTACTTCACAGAATGGTGGTAAGGATTCATAACATGACATTCGTAAGGATTCAGGCCATGCCAGGGATTTAGGGGCACCCTGTTCCTCTCTCTCCCTCTCAGACAGGGTGGAAAGGATCAGAGAAGTGTGTGCACACATCTCAGAGTGACTGCATCTGTCTTTGGCGGAGAAGACAATAGGGAGGGTCAGGCCACTCCAGCGAGGGAGACAGACCTGTTAATTTGAAATTATTCACGAGGCAGGAGAATGCTAAATTAAATTAGCGTGACCTTACTTTGCATGTGGAAGGTGCGCTTCGTCACCCCTGAGAGCCTGCCGTATCCATCACCCGCCCCAAGGGGGAAATTACGAAGAAAAATGAGAGCTGCTTCCCCACCCTCCGCACGGAGAGCAGACTAGACAGTGGAACAAAATGAGGGAAATATGATGTTTCTTTCCCAAAGGCTCCTGTTCTCGTAGCAAGGTCCTCGGAGCAGGGAGCAGTGTCCCTAGGGCCCTGGTGGCCTTGGGTCCAGCCAGCACTCTGGATGATCTTTTGTGGACTGATGTTTCCCCAAATCCCCAGCCCTGGCACATCGGCCAGCAGGGCACACCCAGCACAGAGGGCTTCAGCCTGTGTGAGGGGTGCCGTTTGTCCCCGAAGGGATGTCGGGAGTTTTTACAGTGGTGATGGTCGAGTACTCGTGTTTTCCTGCCCTATTCTGAGCACCTTACAGGTTGTAACTGGAGCTTACAGAGGTGCCTGTGCCCAGGGTCTCACACCTGCTAGCTGGCAGATGCAGGAAGGCAGGACGGGGTGCCCCCAGGTGCTCGGGGTGTGGGGAGGGGACATAGCAAAGCCCTTTCCCCATCTTAGCTCCCTCAGGGAGGCTCCGGGTTTAGGACCCAGCCCTGTTCTTTCTAGATGCATGATCTACAGCAATTTCTCCCCGAGCCTCAGTTTGCTCATCTGCAAATTGGGCGTGGTGATGGCATCCACCTCACAGACTTGGGCGAGGCAGGCTCAGAGCTGCGCTGGTGCAGACAAGTATGTTGCAGTTGTTAGAATCATCGCCATAGTTACATTGAGTAGTTACCATGAGTACAGTGAATTTGGGCTGTGGACCAGCCCACCCACCCCCTCTCACTCCGTCCCCCTTTGTCTGTGACCAGGCTTTGACTGTGAGTACTGTGGTCACAGGAGATTTGGGGACCGAGGTGGAGGTGAGGCAGTGGTAGGACCCAACCCTGCAACGTACCATGCAGGGCGCTCGGCCTCACATCCAGGTAAAGGGGAGGTCTGTCAGATTGGAGAAACTGAGGCAGGGCTCCACCTCGGCAGTTGGCAGCTTGAGTGACCTGGGGCTCCTCTCTTGGTCAAGTCCTGAAGCCTTTCCCTCTGTGCTTTGGCCTGCGCAGTGCTTTTTAAAACTCTGGAATGTGTTGCCAGCGTGAAAGGCCAGGCAGCATCACAGTTTGTAGGTTCCGGAGAGATCAGGAGGTGCGGACACACTGGGCCAGCCTGCCTGTTTGGCCCACTAGGGTTTCAGCTAATAGTGCCTGTGTAGAGAGGTGTGTGCGCTTGGACCGGGGAGCTTATGCTCTGAGTGATGCCTGCCGTGGGAGCCGAGTCAGGCACGGATGCTGAGGCCCAAGCTGCCCACAGGGGCCAGGCACGTTGGCACACGCCTGTGTAAAGACGGTGGCCGCCCACAGCTCCGTTCAGGGGACTGTGGGTGCAGATGTCCTCAGGTCTCCAGTTTGCAGTCTATCCCAGAAAGTGCTTTCACAGCGCATTTCCTGGAGAAGTGGGTTCACTTCCTGGAGAAATAGGTTCATGTCCCCCAAAGGCAGCGTGTCCTGGAAGGAGCACCCTGATTGTGAAAGTGCATTGGGAGGGGGTGTTGTCGGCAGGACCAGAGCCCCCTCACCCCACGGCCGAGGCCAAAACACTCAGCCCAGTGCGTTCTTTGCCATGTGGGCTGAGTGAGTCGCCTGCTGGCTGGGGGCCTCTCCTGCACCCCTCAGCGCCCCCAACCCACCCAGTGATGCCTGTGCGCCTGGGGGTGGCCTGGAGTATCAGCATGGTGTTGCTGAATCCTGTCTCTTAGGGCCTGTGGATTTGCCGAGGCTGGGTCAGCTCCCCGGTGATCGTGATCACCTTGAGCGAAGGTTCCCTGAGTGCTAAGCTCATCACCACGCACAGCTGCACCGGGCACATGCCCTTCGTCTCCTGCCTTGACACGAGGCATCTGGACGGACTCAGGTGAAGTCCAGGGTCACACAGCAGCTGTGCCGGCCCTGAGCCACAGCAGAGGCTCAGGAACCTTCATGAGTCCCCGTCCTCCTCTGTGGCTTTCAGAATGTGGCCCGGACATCAGTCGCACTTTCCAAACTCTTTCTGAGAGTTGCCCCTTCCTCCTGCCATGTGGGTTGTCTGGGTCCGTGCTCTCATGTGGTTGTGGCCCAGAGACCTGGCTGGGCACAGCAGTGTTCATTTCTGGGGGTGATTCTTTGACTCTGTACCCCAGGCCCCAGAAACCAGATCCTCTGGCCCTCTGGGCCCTGCCTGACATGGTCAGTGGAGCTGTTGCGGGGGGGGGGGTTTCTTCACATCCACTTAGCCTGCTGGGGCCTCATCCATCGCCTCCTGTCGGCCCCCATCGGCCCTGCTGCCACCTGGGCCCCGGACAACACCAGAAGGGCAGTGGCCTGGCCTAGGCTCTGTAGGCCACCAGGGCCCAGCACAGGGACAAAGGCAGCCCCACACCTCCCTCCCTCCAGGCCTGGCGTGGGCAGGGCCCCTGGAGACAGCAGGGGGAAGGGGCGGAGGGGTGCCCACCACCACCATACACTGGGGTGAAGAGTGCACTGGGTTGGGGGAGGGGAGTTGCAGGCCCCTCTGAGGAAGGAGAGCGTGGGTGTTGCACAAAGCAGGCCTGTGTGTCCCCTGAATGGGTGGCTTTATCCCAGGTCCTAACACACAGGACCTGGACCCTACGGAATCAGGCCAGGCTGCCCAGACCCTGGACTGGCCTGCCTGGGGAGGCAGGAGGTGTGGCCAGTTACTGGGTCTGAGGCCAGAGGCCTGGCCTTTGCCCAACCCAGGCCTTGCCCTCCTGTTAGGAAAATGAGGGTGTCCGGAGGGCAGTTGGAGGCTTGCCGGATTTCCCCCCAGGCGGGGCCCTGGCCTCTCTTGAGCGAAACGGGGACACAGTTTCAAGGCCCAGCTCCAGACTGAATTCCCTGGTGCAGAGGCAGCCGTCTCGGGGATGGTCCGTGGGAGGAGTCACGAGCTTTGGGCCCTAGGGCTACATGAGGCTGTCCCTTGACCTCTGAGATGGGATGATAAATGTGCCCCGTACACACTCTGCCCTGCACAGGGGTGCTCAGCCTGCCGCCGGATCATTCTTTGTCCTGCGGCGTCCTGCACGTGTAGGTTACTGAGCAGCCTCGCCGGCCCTCACCCACTAGATGCCAGGGTCACCCCCAGTTGTGGCAGCCCCTCATGTCCTCAGACACTGCCACGTGTCCCCTGGGGCGCAGACTCACCCAATATACTAATGGCATCAGGTAAAGTTGGCAGTTGGACAAATAGATAATGTGGCGTGAGAACGTGGATTCCCAGGGAGCCTGGGAGGGAAGAAGGGGGCCAGGGCTTTGGAGAGGATGTGGGTTCTGTGTGGAGAAGCTTCTGCGACTGCACCCGCAGCAACACCCACCTCGGACACATTGCTTTCCCGCTGGAAGCCTTGGAAACTGAGGCAGGGGTGTGAGGGGCAGGCCCTGCAGGGTTGGAGGGGGCAGAGCCGGGACACTGCCACACCTCACGTTGCCTGTTGCTCCCCGGGTCCCACCTGCTGCCCGCCCCTGCTGCCTGCAGCTCCTTTTGTCTGGGAGGAGGAGGAGCTGAGTCGGTGGCCCTGAGCCTGAACCTGTGCCCTGGGGCCCTCAGCTAATTGCTCATTAGCGCCCCGCCACATTGGGGGGTCTTCCTGCCCCTCTCTGGGTCAGGGGAGGCACATGCCCCTGCTTGGGCTGGGGTAGGCTGGCACCTGCCGGCTGCTGCCCCCTCTGCCATATCACCACCCGGGTCCCCACCGCGGGAGGCTCTGCTGGCATCGGCCACGGCCAGCTGTCAAGCCCTTTCGCGTGGACCCGACTGAGTCAGCAGGATCAAAATAACCTTCCTTTTCCAACACTTGAGGGTTTTTCCGCCTTCCAGGGGAAAAGCAAAAAACAAAACCAGAAAAACAGAAATAAGGATTGCAGCATCTGCAACCACCAGACTGGTTTTTCTGAGGCCTCTTCACTGGGGGGCGGAGGTTCCCTCACTTACCCGGTCCTGTCGAGGATGGTTGTGTGTGTGTGTGAGTCGTGTGTTATGTGGGTGTGTGTATGTATGTGTGGAGTGTCGGGTGTTTACGGCTGGGTGTACCTGTGTGTTGGGGTGTGAAGGGCTGGGCATCAGCGCCCTCGAGGCCTCACGTGTCGCCTTGCTCTTGCAGCGGAGCTGGAGTTTGTGGAGATCACCATCATCGTGCTGGTGGTCATGGTGATGGTGGTGGTGATCACGTGCCTGCTGAGCCACTACAAGCTGTCTGCACGCTCCTTCATCAGCCGGCACAGCCAGGCCAGGAGGAGAGACGACGCCCTCTCCTCGGTAAGTGCCCCGCCCCTTCCGTCTGCACCCTGAGCTCTGGGGCGGTGGGACACCCCTCACTGGTGTGCCGTGATGTCCCAGTCGGTTGCTCTCAGGAACTGGAGGGATGAGGCTCAGCAGGGAGGCAGCTGGGCAGGCGACGAGGAGGGTGTTCTAGGTCCAGGCAGAGGCCCGATGGGACAGGGTGGTGGGACAGGTGCCCAGTCTTGCAGCCGTGACCCAGACAGAAGGGAGGGGCCCTTCCCCTCACGCCAACGCCCTGCAGGCGTCTGGGCCAGGAATTCGCAGCGTCTTGGAGGTAGCAGGTCACCTGGGGAAAGGCCTTTCCTGGGGCCTGAGTTTAATCCCAGCTCCTCTGTTCCTGGCCGTGTGCCCTTGGACCAGCCCCTGATCCACAGAATGGGGCTTCAGACCCCATTATGTGTAAAAGCTACTGACGGTCGTGCCACCTCCCAGACAATTCAGGGCTCAGCCCTAAGGTCCCCGATTACCTGCACTTTCATGGCTGAACCCTGCCCTGTGCTGGGTCTTCTCCTTCAGCCGATGAGCCCGAGGGAGGGGCGGAGTCTGTCTGCAAATAGTTTCCTTCTCCGCACCCACGATGCCTCATTGAACAGCCTGGGACAGGAGCTGCGGTCTGATGTGCAGGCTGGGAATTAGGGAGAAGGTAACACGTGGGTGGCCCCGGGGCTATGGGCGGGCACACATCTCTGAGCCCGTGTTCGCTGGGTGCTGGGAGGACAGTGACAGGACAAGGAGGCAGTGCTGGGGAGGCCTCCCCGTTCCAGGGGACACCTGGGGTTGGCGGCGGTGTTGTCTGTGGGGCGGAGCCAAGTCCCCAGGTTCCGGCATCTCCACTTGCATCAGGCCACGACCTCGGGATGTCAGTAGGTTGCCAGGGCAGGGAGCATCCGCTCGGGTCCCTCCAAGCCGAGGTGCCCCAACTGAGGCCCCGCGTGCATCCAGAGGGCTTGGCTGCTCTGAGGAATTTTGCACCCACAGCCAGGGTTCGTCTGTGTGTTTAATCTTCACTGCTGTTATCCCATGGACAATGCCGCAAGCTCATGTCTGCACTTGCAGCAGCCTGGGGACCCAGTTTTATCGGGGGAAACGGGGGCTCAGAGAGGCGGGAACACTAGCCTTGGGCCACACAGCTTTTAAGTGGCAGTTTGAGAAGTCCATGCCTCGTTTTGTCCTCCCCTGCATGCTGGGGCAAACAAGGGCACTTTGCACCAAGGAGAAGACACCAGCTTGCTGGCACGTGCTCCAGGGTGGGTCCTCCTGCCCGCTGACCCTCAGTGTGTGCAGCTGTAGGATGCGTGGAGCTAGCCTTTCTCCTGCCGCTACGGTCTCGTGTAGTCATGGGAGGATGAAGTTAGCTGAGAGTATGGGGAGACCGCAGAGGCTCCAGTGTGAGGTGTTGCTTCCGTGGAGGGGGAGTCAGCCCTGTGGGCAGCACCTGGAACTTCGTGCCCAGACAGAGGGCAGGATTCAGGCCGTGGTTCCCAGATATCTGAGGCTAAAAAAAAAAACCCCGCGCCCCATCTCCCCACCGTGTACCCAGCCACCTGCACAGGCTCCTGGGGATGTCCGGCTGGGTAAGCACAGAGCCTCGTTAGGCCTGAAGCAAGTGTGGCAGCTCCCCTGGGGACCCCTCCCCCCACCAGACAGGGCACATCTGAGGCGTCTCAGGGCCCTGTGACTTCCCAGAGGGACCCAAGCCCAGCTGCTGTCTGTCTGGGGCTGGGCCCATCCCTGGCATGGCTGTCCTGCCATGGCCCCTTTTCAGGCTGACTTCCGGGGAGTTTGTTTCCTCCTCTGCTAGCGGGTGAGGCTCAAGTGCACGCCCTGTGGCCTTGGGACGTCACTTCCCCCAGGGAAGCCAGGTTGGACATACTGCCTAACGGTAACTACAGTGATGATCTAGCCGCTGCAGTGGCACAGACCCAGCATCTGAAGGGGCTTGTGCTGTGGCCAGGTGAGGCGAATGTTACCTGTAAAGACAGGTACAGTTCTACCCGGGCATAGGTGAGCAGGTGGACAGGTGCAGCCATGTCTCAACCAGGAAGCCTCCTACCCATTCCTGGGCTGGTCTTGGGCCCCTGAGCTTAGCTTTCAGGCACCAGTTTAGACAGATCCTACTTTGAATTTCCTTTCCTTAGCAGCTTTTAATTATTCCCCCCAAAAGATTGTGCATCTGGAACAGTGATGGTCACTTCACCTGCAGCTCCCTGGGAAGACGGGTTTGTGCAGGAGGCCTGCTCAGCGTGGGCAGGCACAGAATCAGACCAGAGGCTCAGCCAGGCCTTGGATGGGGCAGCCATTTGTCCCCTTTGTCACCAAATCAGCCCCTGCATGGTTGCGTGCTCCCACAGGGCCAGTTGCTGTGGCCTACACGAGACACAGCTCCCCCGTGCCCTTTGCGTCAGGCTGGGTCCTAACCAGTGTCCCGCTATTTCATTCTTTCAGTGAATACTTACGAGTACCCAATGCTTAGCTTGCAAAGCTTGGTGGATGGTGGTCCCTTTCACTGAGATGGGGGAAGAGTGTCATTGGGGAGTTCAGGGGAAGAATCGAGAGTCCCATCTAGCTGCCTGGAGCTGCTGAGCAGGCGTGTGGCTCTGGAGTTGAAGGCAGGTCAGGAGCCATCAAGGTGTAGACCAGGGGCCGGCCGCCTGCTTTTGTAAATAAAGCTTTATTAGCACACAGTCACACCTAGTTCCATGGTATCATCCCCATGGCGTTTGCCCTGCAGCAGCGTTGTTAGCGATGTGGCAGACCATCTGGCCTACAAAGCAGAATATATTTTACTCTCTGGCCCTTTAAGGAAATGGTTGGCGGACCCCTGGTCTAGACGGGAAAGCAGGCTGGCTGAGCTCACCATGAGCAAGGACACTTTTAGAGGAGCCAGGTGGAGCCTGGGACGTCAGGGAGAGGAGGGTATACGAAGGAGCTGTCGGGAATGACGGGGGGTTCCTGGAAGGCTCTCGGAAGGAGAGGTGACCTCCAGGTATGCAAGTTGGAGGTAGTCATGTGATGAGAATGCTGGGTGGTTCTGGGGTCTGTGGTGGGGCCCCCAGGCACTGATTGGTGTTTTCTCAAGCTCCCTGGGTGATGCCATGCAGTGCCACTGTGCAGCCAGGTGGAGAACCCCTGGGCTAGGGCTTGGAGGATGGGGTGGGCAGTGGTGGGAAGAGGTTGTTGGCAGCCACGTCATGCAGGGCTTGGGACAGAGGAGCTCATAGGAGGGATTTAGGCAGGGGCTTGTCTGAGTCACATTTCATCCAAGCCAGCCTTGGCTGCTTGTACCCGTCCCCCAGGGCTCCTAAGTCCACTGGGGAGTAGCTGGATGTTCCCCCATCTGCTTCCGGGCACACACACGGGCTGTGCCAGGGACCCAACTGGGGGGCGTGGAGCCTGCCAGGACCAGCCTGAGCCGAACCTGAGTGCATCTGGAAGCAAGCGGGCGAGGGTTTGGAGCTCAGTGCAGCGTCTCACCGGCTGGGCCAACTCAACTCTGCTAACTGACCTTCGCTGGCCTCATAGGTTTGTTGGGGGACTTGAGATAGTGCTTAAAAGAGCTTAGCGCAGAGCCTGGCACCAAGGCAGCAACTGAGGCAGCATTACTGATACCAGTAACAAAGTGGCCACTGAGGCATTGATGACCATATTAACAGTAACCATGTACGTCTGCTCTCTGCAACCCCCTGTCTGGAACTTACTAGACCCCGATGAGTCTTTCTGGTTTAGAGCATTCCTGATGGGACAGTTTTGAGACACAGTGCCCCCTAGTAGCCATATAGGAAATTGCAGCCCGCCAAGTAATTTCTCCCCAGACTGCTGGTGAATTGTTGTAGCTGGGACGCTCAAGGAAACATGCCCCCAAGGAAACTAATGTGATGATGGATGTATTTAGCTTCACTGTGGGGATGGGTTCTTGGTACATATATACATAGGCCAAAGTTGTATACTTTAAACATGTTCAGTTTATTATATATCAGTTATACCTCAATAAAGCTAATTTTAATGTTTAAAAGAAGACACCCCCCTCTTTCCTAGGCCCCATGTTTGGGTTGCCTCTCAGATGAACTGATCCTGGCATGGGGTCCCACTTTTCTGACCCTCAGGTCTCTTCCCGTGAAATGGGAATCTCATTGGAGGGGAGGGGGTTTGATCTTCCGTCAGTTGAGAGAGGTCCCTGAAGCGTCAGGAAGGATTTCCAGCTCATTGCAAAACAAGGGCCCGGACATCTGCAGAGGACGCTGTTTCCTGTCCCCTGGGTTCCTCTGCGAGGTGGGGTCACTGTCCCCAAGCTCCATCCAGTGGCCCACGCTGAGGTCAGGGTGGTCAGAGCCTGGCAGGTAACGGGGGTAGGGAGCCTGTAGTGCGGCTGGAACTCGCACGCGGGAGTGTCCGTCGTGCCCCACAGAACCCACACAGCCTGGCCACCCGTGGGCAGCCACAGGCCTCACCTGGAATCTCAGGACAGAGGACGTGAGATGGTAGCCACATGCCCGGCACCTGGCCGAGAGCCTGGCCCAGAAGTGGTGCCACATCCACATTTGTTGACCGAATCGTTTTGTGGCAGAGCAGCTGCGTGCGGCGTTTTGCTTATTAGCTCTACTATATTTCTCCACCTGTAAACTGGGCTCCCAACAGGGAGGGCAAGATAGACTGTACAGAGTCAAATAAAGATGTTGACAAGATGATTCCAGATCCAACAGATACTGTGACGGAAATAATCAGATGGCAGGATGTTTAATGGGAGGACCCATTGGGTAATGGTGTCAGAGAACGTCTGCAGGGGACACTGGAAGTAAAAAGGAAGGAGTCGGCCATGTAGTGGGGTGGCCAGTGCAAAGGCCCTGAGGTACACACAGCGTTTGATGCGCTAGAAAGTGGGTTAGCATGGCTGGAGGGAGTGGCGATGGCACCCAGCATTTTCATATGCTCACTGGGGGCCACGTGCACGCTGGGTGGTTCGTATGCTCCACTCCTTAAGTTCTAGAATTAAGTAGCTTGCCCAGAGTGGCACAGCAAGCAAAAGGTGGTGAAGGCCAGGAGGGCTAGGTCAGGCCAGACTTCCTTATCAGCCAGTTCACCAATTAACTTGAGTTTATTTTAAGGCCCACAAGAAGCTGCTGGAGGCTCTTGAGAAGGAGGGACCCACGAGTCAGCTCTACGTTTTGGAGAGTGACTGCAGTGGGAGCGGATAGCGGCAAGGCAATTGTGGTCACATCCTGGAGGTGTCCAGGGCCCAGGCCCGGGTAGTGGATGGGGATGGAAAGAAGTAGATGGTACAAGAAGATCTCAGGGTCAACGCTGGGTTGACCTTTTGCTCTCCTGCCTCTACCCATCCCAGTGACCTGTCCCTCTTGTCCCCATACAGGAAGGATGTCTCTGGCCCCCGGAGAGCACTGTGTCGGGCAGTGGAATCCCAGAGGTGAGCCCCAGCGCTGCCTCCCCCCCCCCACTCCCTGGCTCCTTCCGTGTCTCCACCTGCCCCCCCAGCCATCTGTAGTAGACCCAAAGTTCCTCTGCCCGGCAGGCCCCCTTCACCGGGATGGAGGTGCCTCCCCAGTGCTGGAACAGTGTGACTGCTAAAGGGTCACCCCTCTGCCCTTCTCTGAAGAACTGTCCTTAGCTGTTGGGATCCTCTCTGCCTGGGCAGTACACACTCCTGGCCCCCCCCCCACCCCCCAGGAAGCAGCCCACAGTATCTGGGACAGGCGAGGCCAAAGGCAGCCCCTATTTCAACTCTGCAGTGTTCACAGTCAGGGCGCCCCGTGATCAGACTGAGGCTGGGCCCCCACTCTGCTGCCCTCTCTCCCTATCCCCAGTGAGCAGAGTCGCATGCAGAGGTCCCTGCCTCAGGCCCTGCTTCTGGGGTGGGGGGGGCTTCACTCTGCTCTGCCCCCTCCAGCCACAGGTCTATGCCCCACCGAGGCCCACCGACCGCCTGTCCGTGCCCCCCTTCACCCAGCGGGACCGCTTCCACCGCTTCCAGCCCACCTACCCCTACCTGCAGCATGAGATCGACCTGCCACCCACCATCTCGCTGTCGGACGGGGAGGAACCCCCGCCCTATCAGGGCCCCTGCACCCTCCAGCTGCGGGACCCCGAGCAGCAGCTGGAGCTGAACCGGGAGTCGGTGCGTGCGCCCCCTAACAGAACCATCTTTGACAGCGACCTGATGGACAGTGCCATGTTGGGCGGCCCCTGCCCCCCCAGCAGTAACTCGGGCATCAGCGCCACGTGCTACGGGGGCGGTGGGCGCATGGAGGGGCCGCCCCCCACCTACAGCGAGGTCATCGGTCACTACCCCGGGTCTTCCTCCTTCCAGCACCAGCAGAGCAGCGGGCCGTCCTCCTTGCTGGAGGGGACCCGGCTCCATCACGCACACATCGCACCCCTGGAGAGCACAGCCGCCTGGAGCCAAGACAAGGAGAAACAGAAAGGACACCCTCTCTAGGGGTCCTGGGGGGCGGAGCGGGGCCGGGGCAGCGGTGGGTAAAGAGGCGAACCCCTCCTCACGTAGAAGAGCCCGGAGGAAGGGGTGACACACCGGAAATGCGCGCATCACCAACCTCTCCCCACCTCTGTGTGTATAAATATTTACATGTTCTGTGTGGTCTGAATGCACAAGCTAAGAAAGCTTGCAGAACAACAACAAAAAACCGTGTTTCTTTGTTGAGCCCTGTCTTGAAGGCAAAAGAGAAAAAAATCCTCCCCTAAGTCTTCTGTTTCTAGTTGAGCTGCGTGCGTGAATGCTTATTCTCTTTTGTGTTTTTTTTTCTGATGATTTCACGTAACTTTAAAGACATATTTGCACAAAACCTTTGTTTAAAGATCTGCAATATTATATATATATATAAATATAAATATATATAAAAATAAGAGAAACTGTATGTGCGAGGGCAGGAGTATTTTTGTATTAGAAGAGTCCTATTAAAGAAAAAAAAAGTTGTTTTCTGAACTAGAAGAGAAAATGGCCATTTTTGAGTGCCAACTCAGAAAGTGTGTATTACCTTGTAAAGAAAAAGAATTACAAAGCAGGGGTTTAGAGTTATTTATATAAATGTCGAGCTTTTGCACTATTTTTTATTATAAATATGTCAGTGCTTGTTTGATGGAAACTGCTATCATGTCTGTTGAGACTTGTAAGGGAGAAATGTCGCATTTCGACGTCAGGCAGAGAGAGGGCGGGTTCCACGTGAAGTTTGGAGAGAGGCCTCCAGCTCGGCCGCTTTCCTCCGAAGTAGAAGCTTTTGTCTAAGTGATAGGTTATTACCTCGTTACACATTCCCTGCTGAGGGGGACACAGTTTTTTCCTCTCTGGGCCAGAACAGCCTTTGGATTGCAAACAAAATAGGAAAAGTACTTGAGGCACCAAATTCCAGGTGGGGTGGCTTTGCCTCTCCCCAAATGAAAATAAACTGTTACTGAAGGAATTTTAGTTTTTCCTCCTTTTTTTTGTTTTTGTTTTTTCTTTTTTTTTTCCTGGTTGACGACGATGATGGTTCCCCGTAGGAAGGAACGGAGCTGTTGCTGTGTTGGCAGAGACACACCAGAGCGCTGTAGGTGGCTTGTTCGTGTGGAGTGCTTTGGTGGTGAGTCAGCTGCTCCAGTTTGTTGGCTAAGGTCGGTGCAATCCACTGGCATATAGGAAAGGCCCAAAAGTATTAGGAAGATGACCTTGTCCCTGTCCTTCTTTTCCTGGATCGATTCTCACTTATGAGGCCAATAAACAGAAGACGAGAGATGAACAAGTGGCACGCGCAGGTTTCTCCCAGGACACGCGAAAGGGCTGAAACGAGGGTGGCCAAACCCGCTGCAAGCCTGCGCTTGATGCTTTCAAAGCAGAATTCTCTACCTTCTCTCTGTTCTCAGTCCCCCCCACCCTCACCCCCACCCCCGGAAACAGTCACGTTTGATGTGTTTATGTGTGTTTTCATAAGCATCTTTCTCAGACACAACTCTTGTTTACCAGGATTTTACTGAGTAGATTTGGGTGTGGCGCGACCCCTTGATGGTGGCGTGCAGGTGAAGACGCGTGAGTGGACACGTGTGTGTGTGTGCGCGCGTATACGTGACAGAAGAGTGGAGTGGGGGTCCCTTGGCATCCACTGGGACAGTGGCTGGAGCAGGATGCCCTCCCACTGAGGACTTGCTAACATCCCATGGGGTGGGGAACCCACCCCCGCCAGCCGGAAGAGTAGCCCTTCCACCCCGTGGAGGTGTCTTCATTTTCGGCAGAATGCCACCTAGCAGACTAACGTAAGAAAAAGGTATAAGAGGCAATAACCGTTGTTTTTAAGCAACTTTTTTATTACTTGAAAAACAAAAACCTGAGAACAGTTTTGACGTTCTGACGATTTGAACTCTATTTATATACACATTTTAAGAACATGGTGACCAACAGATGAACCTGTCATCTGAGTGTCCGCTGACCAAATCTGGCAGAAAGTGTACCTTAACAATAAAATCTGCCTCTCCGTGGGGTCTTCAGCCTAAAATTCGCTTCTCTCTCAAAAAAGGATTCTTATAAAAGGTCGTGCAGAGAAATCAATGTAGTTAGTTAGTCCTGAAAGGTACAGGGACACATTTATAGATAACATTTTTAAGAAACATGTCTTTATGTGGAGCGTCTCCCTAGTGCCTTACTGAGGAAGCAGTTGACTCTCTTGTCACCGGGCCAGGCGTTCCTGGACAGTGCCTGGCTCGCAGGGGACTAGCCTTCCCGCTCCTGGTCAGCAAAGGGCTGCTGCTGCTTTTCAAACATCCCCATCACCCTCCACCTTGGATGAACCTCGCTTGGTCAGGTGACCTCTCCCACCCCTCCAGCCTCCGTTGTCAAGTACTGCGTTTAATGCCCATCTGGCTCAAAAACCTAGAAGTGGGCCTCATTTGTGTGAGTAGCGTCAGCCAAAAGCCAGTGTGCAGCGTTCCCGAGGTCCCCTTGAGCCAAACTCTGAACCTTCTTGCTTGGCGGTGTGTGCTATGTCTGCTCTATTTGCAGCGAGTTAGAAGGAAGCAGGACTGGGTGACTGACCTCAGCTGGCTTGAGGGCAGAGCACGCCCTTCTCTGATCACGCCCCAGTATTGCAGCCCAGGCCACCATGCTGCGATGTCCCTGGGCTTCAAGCCCAGCAGATCACAATTGCAGAAGTTCATGGCGGAGTGGCTTGTCGGGGCCTGGGCGCATCCCAGGAAAAGCGGTGGTGTGTGCTTCTGGAAACGTATGCTGTAGCCACTAGCTCTTGGTGTCTGGACCCCAGAGCTCTGGGGGTGTATTCTTTCCTCTAGATGTTGGCTGTCATGGCGTTGTCTTTGAGAAGCCTTTGAGGGCCCCTCAGGAGGCCCCCTTTATTCAGTAGAAAGTTGGGGGGGTCTTCAAAAGTGGCTGGTTGGAGAGGGGACCAGGTTGGGCTCAGTAAACGTGGCAGAGCTCAGCTTTCTCTAATCCTTTCATTGTTTCCTTGTTTTCTCTACTTGTCAATCATCACCCCACTCTGCTGCTGCAAAGCCCAATCTCTGCAGAAGGACTAAGCAAAGTCCACCAAGAGCTTTCATTCATGTTCCCCCAAAAGCCCAGTGTTTTTTCAAAGAGCTGAAAGGGACTCCTCTCCCCGCCCCACATCCATTGATTCCGTCCCTGTCCTTGTCTGTCTTTTCTGTAAATTGTACGTTTTAGAGATTTTTCTTTCCTCCGTGCAACACAAAGCTTCCAGGTCCATAAAACATCCTGATGATAAGGAAAGAATTCCCTCCCCCCCCCCAAAAAAAAATCCACGCTTCAGATTTTGCTGTGCTATAAAGCTGAGATGGACGCTGGGTTCCCTCGTTTGCCGGCCTGACCCCCTGGCGGTTTTGAGGATGGCGACGCCTGATGCTTGCCTGCGGCGTTCTTGGCGTTGGGACCGCTCTCCTTTGCAGCCCTGTTTCCCGAGTTCTGTTCAACTTCTGTGAACTGTCCGTGGCACGTCGCTGCTGCGTAAGACTCTGTGTTTGGATGCCAATCCACAGGCCTGATGAAATTGCTTGTTGTGTATCAATAATCATTAGTGGCAATGATGACATTCTGAAAAGCTGCAATACTTATACAATAAATTTTACAATTCTTTGGAATGTGGCTTTTTTATTCCTTTGGTCATCCCCCTGCCCCTGCCTCCCTCAGAAACAACCCCAGGACTCAAGTGGGGAGAAAGCGATCCCCCCAGAGCTGCTGTGTGACCTTCAGCAATTCTTCCCACCTCTCTGTGTTAATGCAGGGAGCCCAGTGGAAACACTTGACTAGGCAGATGGTTTTAATAAGGGGTAGTATGTGGATTAAAAGAATTTCCAAAACATTGCCTCTTGGAAAATAATTAATCACCATAGCACGATGAAAGTTCTGATAAGGTCTGCAAGAAAGAAACCATCTCAGGTAGGTTTTTCCAGAAGTAAACTCTTGAGAGGTGCCCCTGTCTGAACGGATGTGTCACAGTTGTGGGGGAGACAACAGCTCAGGGAGTTGGGAAGAGAACAAGAGTAGAAATGGAGCACAGAACCCAAAAGGGATCCCAGGGGGTCTGAGTGGGGTACCTGTGACAGAAACACTTATTTCTTTAATGTCTGATAAAGACTTTAAAAATCAGCCTAAACAGAGTCAGTGACCCACAGGGATGACCAGTGTTTTGGCCACAGCTCCAGGGTTTCTTGAGCTCCTGGATCACAGAGGCTTATAAATGATAAACCCCACATTGGATCAGGGCAGCGCTGAGCACGCATCTGCCTTACCTTTTCCCCCCTCTGGTACAGAAAAACCTCAGAGGTTACAAAGAATTGGAGAGAAACCTAGAGAGCTCATTACTCTTCAGCACTGTGGCGCTGTGCCCCAGCCCGGCTCCAGAGTCCGAATGCCTCTTACGAGCGGTCACTCCCTGGCTGACCCTCAGTCACCTCATCTGTAGAAGGGGTTGACGGTGGTGCCTGTGAGCTGGTTGCACCTGGCTTCCGAATAGAGAATGTAAGTCCTCAAAAGGGTGCCTGACACATGCACATGTTAACTGCTTTTATTAATAGGCTCCCAGGGAGGGTTTTCATATAATCAAATGCCCCTGGAATCTTCTGGACCGGTTTGCAGGTCCTAGGCTAGGCACACCTCCCCCAGGTAGTCAGGACAGAGGAGTCTTGGGTTCTAATAGAAAGGAGACACCCTCCCTTTGAGTACAGCTCAAGCAGATATAGCTGTCTCAGTCCAGAGTAATGACTGAAATCAGAATGCCTAATATTTATTGAGCATCTACTCGGTGCCAAGCTCAATGCTAGGTTCTTGACTGAAGGTGGCTGTCTGTGTGCTGAGATGGTTGCTAGAGGTCCCAGTGCATCAGACCCAACCCTCGACCTCGAAGAACTCCCCTGGCACCACAGCACAAAATATGGTGAGGGCAAGGGTGGGCTGTTAGGAGTGAGAGGGAGGCTTATTGAAGGCTGGCTTTTGAGCTTAGAGATGTTGGAAAGAAAAGCGGAGAGGGTGAACCAGGCGCCTATATGAGCAAAGGTCATGAGAGGACCTGGCAGGGTTCCTGCACGGCACAATAAAGCGATGCCCTGGAGGGGAGGTTGAGGCACTCAAACCCTGCACAGCAGCCAGGAAGGGTGGTGGGCATGGCCTGGTCAGGGGTGGGGGCACGGAGAAGCCCAGTGATTAGAAACATCACATGAGAACGTGACCAGGGGAAGGGCTGTAGTTTCCACCTACAGCCAATTTGATAAGCGGGCATCGTACACCCACTATGTGCCAGCACCATGCCAGCCCCAGGGACACAGCTCAGCTGTGACGGTCTGGATTCAATCATCTCTGCAGATTTCAGGGTGGAGGTTTGTCCTGTGGTCTCAGTTCTCTGGTGAGAAAGAAAAGTTGTTGATTTTTAGTTGGTTCGCCTTTTCCTTCTTGTACGGATAAGAGCAATGATTTCCAGGCTGTTTGCATGTCAGAACTGAAAACAGAAGTTCCCTGTGTGTGTGTCTCTCTCTTTAATGTTTAAAAAAATGACATAAAATTCACATACCATAAGATGCACCTTTTTAAACATACAATTCAGTGATTTTTTAGTCTATAGTCACAAAGTTGTGCAACCGTCACCGCTATCTAATTCCAGAATGCCTCCGTCATCCGCAATGAAACTTCACTCCCATCAGCAGTCACATTCTCATTTCCTTCTTGCCCGGTCCCTAGCAGCCACTAATCTACGTTCAGTCTCTGGATTTGCTATTTTGAACATTTCGTGTAAGTGGAGTCATGCAATATGCAACCTTTTTCTCGTATTATGTGTCTGGTTTCTTTTACTTAGCAGAATGTTTTTTAAGGTTCATTTGTGTTGTAGCGTGTATCAATACATTCTTTTTGGTTGAGTAATATCCCATTGTATGGATATCTCACATTTGTTTATCCAGTCAGATGGACATTTGGGTAGTTTCCACCTTTTTGTCTATTATGAATAATGCTGCTATGAATCTTCGTGTACAAGAGTTTGTGTGGACATATGTTTTCATTTCTCTTAGATCTAAACCTCAGAGAGGAATTAATTGGCTGGGTCATATGGTAATTTTGTTTAATTTTTTGAGGAACTGCCAAACTGTTTTCCTCATTTGCTGCACCATTTTACATCCTACCAGCATTGTATGAGGGTCCCAATTTCCCCACATCTTCACCAACATTTGCTATTTCCCTTTTTTAAAATTACTATTAAGGCCATTGTAGTGGGTGTGAGGGTATCTCATTTAGTTTGATTTGCCTTTCCCTAGTAACTATTGATGGTGAACATGTTTTCACGTGCTTATTGAACATCTGCATCTCCTCTTCGGAGAAATGTCTATTCAAATCCTTTGCCAATTTTTTATTTGGGTGATTTGTCTTTTTATTATTGAGTTGCAATATTTACCTATGTATTCTGCATACTAGATCCCCGTTAGACATACAGTTTGCAGAAATTTTCTCTCATTTTTTGTGTTGTCTTTTCATTTACTTAATAGTGTTTTTTGAAGCACAAAAGTTTTTAATTTTCATGAATTTCAGTTTATTTTTTTTTGGTTGGTGTTTGTGTGTGTGTGTGTGTGTGTGTGTGTGTGTGTGTGTGTCATATTTAAGAAACTATTGGCCAAATACAAAGTTATACAGATTTACACCTGTTTCTTCTAAGACTTTTAAAAGTTTAACTCTTCTATTTAGGTAAGGGTTCAAATCCATTCTTTTTCATGTGGATATCCAGTTTTTCTTGTATCATTGCTTGAAAAGACTGTTCTTTCTTTCCCCCATTACATTTTCTTGACATCCTTGTCAAAAAACCAATTTACCATAAAGGTATTGGTTTATTTTTGGACTCTGAACTCTTATTTCACTGATCTATATGTTTATTCTTATGTCTGTACTACACAATCCTTGTTACTATAACTTTGTAGTAGGTTTTAAGAAGTGTCTCTCCTCCCATTTTGTTATTGTATTTCAAGTTCGTTTTGCACGTTCTGGAACTCATATGAATTTGATGATCAGCATCTCAATTTCTGCAAAACAGCCAGCTGGGATTTCAGTAAGTATTACACTGACTCTGTAGATTGATTTGGGGAATATTGCTGTCTTAACAATATTAAGTGTTCCAATCCATGAACACAGGAGGCCTTTCCATTTATTTAGATTTAATTTCCTTTCAGTGTTTGTTCTGTTGTTTTCAGTATATAAGACTTACACCTTTTTTGTTGTTAAATTCATTCCTAAGTAATTTATTCTTCTTGATTCTTTTGTAAATGAAATTGTTTTCTAAATTATACTTCTGAATCTTTCATTGCTAGTCTATGAGCATACGGTTGATTTTTATATAATGAGTTGTATCCTACAAGCCTGCTGAACTTGTTCATTAGGTCTAAATTGTTGACTGTTGTAACTGAAAAGCAGCAGGCTAGAGCTGAGCTAGATCCCGTACCACCCAGCCCGTATGTGCACACCTGATGTTAGCAAGGTGTCTCCACGGTCAACCTGCTCATCTGTCTACAGATTCCTCTCTCCTGGTGCCATCTTCTCTCCAGTTTCATTTCCTGACAGCTCTAAATCAAGAGGGAAGAAATTAGTTCCCAGTTCTTCCACCCAAAGTCCCAGAATTGAATCTCTTTGGCCTGGCTTAGGTCATGTGGCCATCCCTGAACCAATCACTGCAGCCACAAGAAAGAAGTGCTCTGATTGGCCACTTTTGGGTCACATGCCCTGCCCTGGACCTAGGGGTGGGGTCAGCTACCCACCCTCATCCACATGGGTTGAGAAAGGAGAGAGGTGATACTCCAAAGGAAAATTGGGGTGATTCTACCAGAAGAAAGGGTTTAGCTGCTAGGCAGCTAATAACAGCAGATGCCATTACACTGGACAGGTAAATGCATTAATATTGAAAAACGAAAGCTTTCGATAAACACTGTAACACTCTTGCGGGGTGCAGACCATGCTGTCTCCTTCGCACCAAGTGGGGAAGGCAGAAGTGCCTGAGCCAGCACCGTGCTTTTGACTACTTCGCTTTGGTTTTGAGTTGATATTTGTTGAAATTATTTCAGCATGTGTGTCTGGCTTCCTGTTGCAGACATAGATGGAACATTGAGAGTGAGAAGAATGTGTGAGCCAACGAGGGAGACAGAACACACAGGAAGTCTGTGCCAAGTCAGCAACTCATTTTCTTTAACACTTTGTACAGTTGTCTCAAAGTAAAAGAACTGTTTCTAAAAATAAAACAAAATATCATAAAAGCTTCACAATCAGACAATTTGGAACAAACGATGGGTTTAAATGTGCAAATAAATTTTTAAAACAAATATCCATCCATGTACGTGTGTGTGCATGTGCGTGTGTGTGCGCGCATGCGTGCATGTGTGTGTGTGCGTGCGTGTGTGCATGTGTGTGCGTGCGTGCATGTGTGCGTGTGTGTGCTTGTGTGCGTGTGTGTGCTTGTGTGTGTGTGCATGTGTGTGTACGTGCGCGCGCGCGCGCGCGCGCGCTGGGACTCTTTGCCTCCGCCCCTCCTCTCTGTCCCCTCCCCATCTCCTCTTCCTTCCTCTTTGCGTCCCCTCTTTGCTATGACTGATAAACCTGAAAGCAGAGGGCTGAAATC